GTGGTAATGATTATAAGCTATATCATTAGACATTTTGAAGATTATTACATTATTAATTATGTTAGAGTACTATGTTAAACAACCATAGTTCTGTTCAATTAGATATTATAAATATTTCAGCATATGATAATGATTTATTTTCATTATTAATTAGATCTTTGAAATATTTTAGCATATGATAATCATTGGAGTGACAGATTTATTTGAAAATTTACTGTTTTCTGATTGAAATATAGGGGAAGTCCATTGGGGTAACCACTACCCCCCTTTTTTTGATAACTTGTAAACGGTCAAGATTCCCACCCAGAAACCATATATATTCTTGTATGGGACAATATATCAAATCAAATAAAATATAGGGGAAGTCCACGGGGGTAAACCCTACCCTTTTTTTTTGAAAACTTGTAAACGGTTGAGATCCCCACCCCTAAACCATATATGTACTTGTTAACAGTTTTTATGAACATTTTTGTTATTCTAGTAATGAAGATTAGAATGTGAATGGCTGGTGCTAAAAAAATCTAGTTCCTCCCAACTTGATGTTTATATGTCTGTCCTTAGTCTGGAACCTTGTCAGTAGTGGTTTTTAGTGACATCCTAATGATTTTTATACACCCATTTAAGGGACGTATTATGGTATACTGTTGTCTGTCCGTCCATCTGTCTGCAACATGTCAGACGATAACTCAAAAGCGCTTTAACCAATTTGCATAATACTTTGGTGAATTGTTTATATCTATTGACTTGAGCTCCCTATTTTTATGCCCCTGCCGTTGCGGAGGGAGAATTAAGTCTTACCCTTGTCCGTCCGTACGTCCGTACTTCCAAAATTGGTTTCCTTTCTGTAACTTTAGTTTGCCTCAACCAAATGGTTTGAAACTTATACACAATGCTTGTTACCACAAAACACAGATCAAGTTTGAATTTTGGTGGCGTCACTTTAACCGTTCTAGAGTTATGCCCCTTTACAAATGGAAAAATTGCTGATTTTTTTTTGTTTCCGTTCTCTAACTTTAGTTTGCCTCAACCAAATGACATGAAACTTATACACAATGCTTATCACCACAAAACACAGATCCAGTTTGAATTTTGGTGGCGTCACTTTTACCGTTCTAGAGTTATGCCCCTTTACAAATGGAAAAATTGCAAAATATAAATTTTAGATTTTAAGTTTCTGTGTTGTGGGGTTTTATTCATTAAAAAAGGGGGATTTTCATGTTTTCGGACAATAACTCAAAAACACTTTCACCAATTTGCAAGAAACATTAGTGAATTGTTTATATCTATTGACATGAGCTCCCTTTTCAATTTTTATACAACCGCAAAAAAAATTTTGGGTCGTATAATGCTATCAAGTTGTTGGTGTCATTTGGTTTCCGACAATAACTTAAGTTTATGTGTATGGATCTCTATGAAATTTAACCAAAAGGTTCAATACCACAAAAGGAAGGTTGGGATTGTTTTTGGGGGTGATGGTCACAACCGTTTAGGAATTAGGGGCCCGAAAGGGGCCCAAAACAAGCATTTTCTAGTTTCAGGACAATAACTTCTGTATAAGTATTGTGATTGCTCTGAAATTGAATCACAAGGTACAATACCATTAGTAGAAGGTTGGGATTCATTTTGGGTGTAGTTGCCCAAACCGTTCAAGAATTAGGGGCCAAAAAGCGTCTAAAACTAGTTTTTTTTTTTTTTTTTTCAAGCAATAACTTGTGTTTAAGTGTATTGGTTTTTTTTAAATTGTACCACATTTTACAAAAAAAAAAATTATGGGAGGGGGGGAATTTTTTTCCCTCAAAATTTAAGAAATTAAAAAGAAGATTTCTTCAAATATTTTTTTTTTTTTTTGAAAAAGGGAAAGGGGGGGGGGGGGGGGGGGGGTTAAAATTTTTTTAGGAGGGTCAATTTTTTTCCCTCAAGATTTAAGAAATTGTCAATTTTTCCAAAGAAAAATTGGGGGTCACAATTTATTTTGCTAATTCTTTGTATATAGTCTGAGAACAGATTTACGAAGTATTGCGCAACAGCACAGTGTATTGCTCAAAACAAGTTCTTTGACTACATTTATTCTGTTTTAGAAACCTATAATGTGTCAAATATTTAATTACAATCCAAATTCAGACCTGTATCAAGCTTGAATATTGTGTATATTTTTGCCCAAATTGTTCAAGGTTGGACCTCTGCGGTCATATCCGGCTGCGCTAGGCGAAGCAGTTTATTATAAATTTTAGATTTTATGATTCAGAGTTATGGGGTTTTATTCATTAAAAAAGGGGATTTTCCAGTTTTCAGACAATAACTCAAAAATGCTTTCAGCAGTTTTCATGAAACTTCAATGAATTGTTTATATCTATTGATGTAAGCTCCCTTTCGATTTTTATGAATCCTAGATTTTACGTTTCCGAGTTATGGGATTTTATTCATAAAAAAGGGGTGATTTTCCAGTTTTCAGACTTTATCTTTAAAGTGCTTTGATATAGATTAGACTGTTGGTTTTCCCGTTTGAATGGTCTTACACAAGTAATTTTTGGGGCCCTTTATAGCTTGCTGTTCGGTGTGAGCCAAGGCTCTGTGTTGAAGACCGTACTTTGACCTATAATGGTTTACTTTTATAAATTTTGACTTGGATGGAGAGTTGTCTCATTGGCACTCATACCACATCTTCTTATATCTATTTGAGCAGTTTTCATGAAACTTTGGTGACTGGTTTATATCTATTAAGACAACCTCCCTTTAGTTTTTCATAAATTTCTGATATGACATTGAGAAGTTATTGAACTTTATTCTTTGAAAAAGCAACATGCGTATCATGCGCTCATGGCGCAGCTGTTTATTGTTTTTTGTCAGAGATTTGTTGTTGATGGCAAATTTTGATAGTCTTTGTTAAATTTTGATTTACAACTTGTCTAGACTAGGGTTGTTTAGATTTTGAGGAATGTCACTTCTCTTTGAACCCTTCTTTTCTACAGAATAGCACAGATATATATAAAGGGGCTTGAAGGAAAGTTTTGCCTACTTTTATTGTTAGTTTGCTGTCTTATTGAGGTATACCTTTCTCCAACAAACATCTTGAAGTTTAATTTTTTTTCATAATACTCATGATGAAGTTTTTTTTTTTTTGGTTTAAAATGCTAGCAGCCCATATTCCAATCTGAAAAAGTGAGTTAAAGTTAAGTTAATTTTGTTGTGCTTTATTTTTTTTTGTCACCTATACAGATATAGGAAAATGAAGGATTTGATTGCTGCATGGCTGAATAGATTCATTTTAGAACTGAATTATTATAACATTATCTTACTGATATATTACACTCTAAAGTACTTTGATATTACATTAAGTATTATATGATGTATTGAAAAAGATGTATTGTCCCTTAGATGTAAATCCAGCTGCATTTGTTTGCCAAATGTATTGTAGACAAATAAATGACATCTTTTAGGGTGCCTACAGACATACACTTTTTTTATGCATTAACAGAAACGAAATTTGCTTTTGTAGTAAAAGTGTTAATTGGTTAAGTTACAGGAGGACTTGTTTATGCATTCAAGTCACATATACTATTTAAAGGCTATTAATCAATGGTGTGTGACATGTTATGTGTATTCACCTTAAATTTATCAAGATCTAAACAGCTGATTTAGCAAAGTGTGGTGACGTGGTAGTATAACTTTACATATTTCTATCTAAGATAACCCCAGAGGTTATCTGAATGGTCAAATAAAATCTCTGTAATATCCTAAGCCAAAACATAAAAAATAAACGGTCATGAACAATTATTTTCATAGCATGTTATTGATCTCTTGAAATTAGAGAATTTAATTTAATCAGACCTATTCAAATGGATTTTTTACCTGAGGATTTGACCTGTTATTATTATAAATGTACCTGGATATTTAAGCCAATTTAAACACTTTAGCCACTTTGTTGTTATTGTTTATAAATTAATCAGTGGATACATACTGGATCTATACGATTTAAAAATACAACCAACAGGACTTTGTACCTGTGGCATAAACAATTTGTGTTTTTGTAAAGATTGAATTAAAAACAGATTGTTATTAGTAAATTAGTATTTAATAGGATATCCTGGGTATAGCTTAGATAATATTACCAAAAAATAAATAAACTTATATTCTTTTAAAATACTGACTATACATGTAGTAGCAGGAAATATTAAGAATATATTAAAAACTACAAGCTGTGATTAACATTTTAGTGGTGAATAATTTCCTTCCTAAAAGAGGGAGATAATTTAAAAGAGTTAAATCTTGATTGTGACAACTGTTCACTTACCTGTATATTTATTTTACTTACTCAGTATATTTTTGTGCCAGGTTTAAATATAACTTCCAGTTTGGAAAAGACTTATATATATACTGTTTTTTAATTGCTGAGACTTCTAAGTTGACAGTACAGAAGCTTGATAAATTGGAAACTTTATTGACAAATGAATGAGTTGTAGATTTTCACTTGGGATTACCTATAATTAAGAAAGATTACCTGATAGTGTAATTGTTTGTGTATTCACAGTAGGTTGTGATGTGGCAGTTCAGCTGGATTTCAATCAAGGACACTTATACTGCTGTTGGATATATGGATATACGTTTGTGAATGGAAATTGATTCATTAAAGGGGGAAGTGTGACATTCAGTGATAGCCTGTCTTTGACACGTTTCAATAGTACTAGTGCTTGATAAACATTGAAATAAATTACATACTGCAGTTACAAAAATAAGTTTGGAATATGATGATTTAACATAGGAACAAATGTATAGTTTGTAGAATATTGTGACCTGAAATATAATATACTAGATATGAACGTAATGTGGTCATAATACTAATAATAAATATTTGTTGTCTAGATAAGATTACATCTAGTTCTTGTGTATATTGAATCCAAGTGATCGTCGCAGTAATCTGATACAATGGATACAGTAGCTAATATCAAAGTAGCTGCTGATTATTTTAAAAGTAAACAAAATACTGTTCTTTTACCCAACAGGAATTTTGGTTCCAGAAAGTTTATACATGTCGGATTAGGAGCAAAAAGTCACAGTACTGGACTGTTGAATGTTTCCAGATTATCAGAGGACGATAATACAGCCGATACAGAATATACAGGTACCCCTGAGGAGAACATGAGAGCAGGTACATTTCTTATTTTAGGATGGGTTCCATGCCTAGTTTATATGATTGTATTTTTAGCTCATTTGGCCCGTACAGCCAAGTGAGCTTTTCTAAATGTCTGTCCTCATCGGCTATTAACTTTTACTCTGAAACTACTGGGCCAAATTTAACCAAACTTGGCCACAATCATCATTGGGGTATTTTGATTAAAAAATGTGTTCAATGATCTTGCCTGCCAACCAACATGGCCGATATGGCTAAAAATGGAACATAGGGGTAAAATCCATGTTTTGTCTATTATATTAAAAACTACTATGAAAAGAGAAATCTGACAGGGGCTGAAATTTTTGGAATGTTGATATCTAACTACTGACAAAACTGTCAGATGGCTAATTATAGAAATCCTTTAATGATGATTTTTTACCATTTTTCTGCATTTTTGCCTAAAATAAAATAAAAACTATTAATAGATAGATAGAACTTTAAAAGCGAAAAAGAATCAGCAAGGTAAGATCTACAAATAAGTCTAAAGGCTGAAATTGTCAGTCAACTTGTTAAAGGGGCTATTGTTCTTTAATGACAATTTTGGCCAATTTTTGTCTCGCCTGCGACGAAAGTTGTGTAAAAAGCGAGACATAAGGATTACTTTTCCGGCGACATCTGCTACAACAGCGTCAACAGTTGTTAAGTTTTCTGCATAAGTTAGTTTGATAGGAAATACTCGTGATAGATCAATGATATTTGATATAAAGTTGCATTACTATAAGTACATATCAGTTTGACGACTATTTCGAAGCTTTGCCCCCATGGTCATGGTCCAGTGACTGAATTAATTAGCAATTTTCAATGTTAAGTTTTCTGCTTAATTTAGTTTGATTGGATCTACTTGTGATAGATCAATGATATTTTGTATAAAGTTGCATTACTATCAGTACACATCAGTTTGACGATTATTTTCAGGCCCTGCCTACTAGATAATGGTCCAGCGACTGAATTAATAAATCATGTTGCTGTCCATCAGATTGTCTTTTTCTGAATTTTATGCAGACAGGCGAGACATATCTCTGTGTCAACATGGTCAACAGTTTATTAGTATTTTTGTTTATTATCTTGAAAACTACAATAGATAGAGAGATACTTTATAGCAAAAATCATCAGCAAGACAAGATCTACAAATAAGTCAATGTTTCCGAAATTGTCATTTTCATATAAGTCAGCATGGCTGAAATCGTCAGTCGACTCTTTGCTCTTTAATGAGGATTACTACCCATTTTTTGAGTTTTTGCCTATTAAACTATAAATGATAGATAAACACTTTAAAAAGCAAAAATGATCAGCAAGACAAGATCTACAAATAAGTCAATTTTTGCTGAAATTGGTAGTCAACTGTTTATTGAGTGATTGCCCTTGAAATGATGATTTTTTATTACCCTCTTTTGTGTTTTGGGCAAAAACTAAAGAAGGTAGAGAAAAACTAAACAGAAAAAATGATCAGCAATTACAAGATCAACAAAATAAAAGATTTTTTGTCATGAATTTTATTCCAGTTCACAATGTTGGAGAGTTAGTGTTTCCATTGTTGAAGTTTCAAATGTAGGTGAGCAACACAGGCTCTTTAGAACCTCTAGTTTTGTGGATCTTATCATGATATGGCATAGATTTGCGTAATTGTTGCAGTTCATTTTTTCCATAACAAAAAAGATAAATTTTTGGTCCAGTAAAAGTATTATTGGTTTGACTGTCATTTCACTGGCCAACTTTTATTTGCACAAGGTTACTTAAAACTGGAATTGATAGGAGCATCTTAGTTCATCTTCTTAATATTCCTTTTAAAAATATGTAAACAAATATGGTGTCTTGATAAATTTCATGCATCTGAAGTACATGAAGTATATAGATATATAGAAACGTGTCTGTATTGGACAGTAAAATAATTACAAATACATGTCAGTAGTACTTTAGTAATGATATTATGATAGGGTTAACCCATGATGATATATTTTGTAGTTTTTGACACTAAGTGGTACAACTGTATTGAACTAATTTAAAAGTGTGCTTCATTCATGCAAATCAGCCCCTTTAAATCAACCTTATTCAGTATTTCCATTGTTTGATATGAGGTATTTTGATTTATGATTACTACCCTAATGATTTAAATGAGAAATTGTCAGTAAAAATTCCTTTTGTTTAAGTAATTGTTTTATTTCCTCAATCATGAAGATTTAATACAAATAAGACAAGTTTTGTATACTTGAGCATTTGAATGAGTGATATCTTAAGATTTATGTCAATATTTACTTTTCAGCAAATAAACAGTGGGTTCATCCACCAGATGCTCTTACAAGAGGACATATAGTGTATAATGTCAAGGTACTTAATATAAAATCTAAATCATCTGCAAATAATACAGGAAAGGTCATTATTTATATGGTCATGAATGCTTGTGGAAAAAAAATCTGTTAATTAATGTGACAGCATGAAATACATATTGAACTTGTACATAAATAGATGTTTTTATTCTCTCAAATGATAGAAATATTTAGCTCAATAACGGAGGGAGCATTGAGTTTTGCCCTTGTTTGCCTGTATGTCCGTACGTATGTCCGTCTGTCCACACATAGGTCCCAAAATTAGTTTCTTTTTTTTAACTTTAGTTTACCTCAACCAAATGTTTATGAAACTTATACACAATGCTTAGTACCACCAAACACGTTCAAGTTTGAATTTGGGTGGCATCACTTTCACTGTTAGTTATGTCCCTTTATAAATGGAAAAAATTACTAAATTTGCTGTTTCCACACTCTAATTTTAGTTTGCCTCAACCAAATGTTATGAGACTTATACAATATGCTTTTACGCACCAAACACAGATCAAAGTTTGAATTTGGATGGCGTCATTTTCACCGTCAGCTTTGTCCTTTTATAAATGGAAAAATTGCTAAATTTGCTGTTTCCTTACTCTAACTCTAGTTTGCCTCAACCAAATGTTATGAAACTTATACACAATGCCTGTTACCACCAGACACAGATCAAGTTTAAAAAATTTAGGTGGTGTCACTTTCGCCATTCTCAAGTTATGTCCCTTTATAAATTGAAAAATTGCTGAATTTGCCATATATTTACAAGCGGGGGTATCTGTATCTCATGGACACATTCTTCTTTTATTTGCACTTATAAGATATTTCAACTTTTTATCTTTTCAGTTTCTTGGAGAAACCGAGGTGGATCAACCGAAAGGTACAGAAGTTGTTAGAGATTCAATCAGGAAGAGGAAGGTATTGTTTATATTCCAATAAGATAGGTTAGGACAGAATGACCTACTATATATTTTGAGGACAAATTGGCTGTTAAGCCATCTATTACCTATACCTTCATCTCAGTGTCAAATTAAATGTTCCAAAATTCTTGTGAAATTTGGTTGTGAGCTTGATATTAATAAACCATGCAATATAAAGTGAGATTTTAAATTTTCTGACATCAAAAAATTTTATGATTGTATCAGGAAAATGTGTTGCATTAAAATTTGTGCTCTCTAAGGTTACTTTGATATTGTGTTACAATACAATACAATAGAAAACAAAGTTATTGACAATAATGACTCCAAGTAATAAACAGTACAATCAAGTTATTGATTACATATCGATTACATTGATTATTTTGACAATTAATCAAAAATAAAGTCTAAAGTACTCATATCTCTTATAAAAGGTGTGTACCATAAATACCGGTATATATAAAAGTCTTCAGATTTGTGTAGACCAAGTAACTTTATGAAAGTTTTTTTTATAAAATAAATACCATAAGCTGTAGAAATGTTTAAAGTTTATTTGTTTATTTGACCATAATATTATTTAGGCTCACTTTTATTTTCTGGTGAGGTGAACACAAAAAAAATATTTCTGGAAAAGTTTGCTATGCATTCTAACCAAAATAAAAATCTTAAAAAATTGCATTTGTGTTCATTCCATCAGAAATGAAAATCATCCTCAAGAAAATTATGGCCAAATAAACAATAAAACTTCAGACATGCACCTTATGGTATTTATTTAATATAAATCGGTCCTGTAGTTACTTGGTAATATTTTTTTGAAAAATATCGATTTTAGTTGAAATGATAAGACATTTTTTGAGTGGGAACTCACTTTTGTCCACTATCTGTATATATACAGAGACATACTACCAATGACTAAACTCTGTTCAGTATTCTATTGAGTATAATTTTGTTGAACAGTATCCCTGAATTCTCTAAATCTGGGAGTATATTTGAAATAAGAACTACGCCTAATTTAAAGAGTAGTTTTATAAATCAATTTTAAAGTTGAATCTTCTTCTTCAAACTTGCATAAATTGTTAAATGAATAATATGTTGAACCTTATATAAAGTAATCGTTATTTCAGTTAGTTCTAAGAGTAAATATGTTTAAGTATGTAAAGGGGTTATATTTTCTTTTTTTAGTTCAATAAACATATAAAGAAGGCTGAAGGCCAGAAAACACCCAAAGTAGAACTTACAATATCTGTTGATGGAGTCACTATACAAGACCCCAAAACAAAGGTATGGACATAATCAAAAAAGTTAGGCTTTTCTAACATGTCTAATGATTTTTTAGCTCACCTGGCCCAAAGGGCCAAGTGAGCTTTTCTCATCACTTGGCGTCCGTCATCCGTCGTCGTTAGCTTTTTACAAAAATCTTCTCCTCTGAAACCACTGGGCCAAATTTAACCAAACTTGGCCACAATCATCATTATGGTATCTAGTTTAAAAAATGTGTCCGATGACCCCGCCAACCAACCAAGATGGCCGCCATGGCTAAAAATAGAACATAGGGGTAAAATGTAGATTTTGGCTTATATCTCTGAAACCAAAGCATTTAGAGTAAATCTGACAAAGGGTAAAACTGATTATCAGGTCAAGATCTATCTGCCCTTAAAATTTCAGACAAATCTGACAACCTGTTGTTGGGTTGCTGCCCTGAATTGGTAATTTTAAGGCAATTTTGCAGTTTTTGGTTATTATCTTGAATATTATTATAGATAGAGATAAACTGTAAACAGCAATAATGTTCAGCAAAGTAAGATCTACAAATAAGTTGTCATGACCAAAATTGTCAGCCGACCCCTTTAGGAGTTATTGACCTTAATAGTCAATTTTTAACAATTTTTCGTAAATTTTTGTAATCTTTTACAAAAATCTTCTTCTCTGAAACTACTGAGACAAATTTAACCATACTTGGCCATAATCATTATTAGGGTATCTAGTTTCAAAAATTGGTCCGATGACCCTGCCTTCCAACCATCATGGCCAACTTGGTTAAAAATGGAACATAGGGGTAAAATGCAGTTTTTGCTTTATATCTCTGAAACTAAAGCATTTAGAGCAAATCTGACAAGTGGCAAAAATGTTCATCATATATAGATTTATCTGCCCTTAAATTTTCAAACGAATCCGACAACCCGTTGTTGGGATGCTGCCCCTGAGTTAGTAATTTTACAAAAATTTTGCAGTTTTTTGTTATCTTAGATATCATTATAATATCTAATATCTAATACTATTAATTATGATTTTAACCTTATTTTACATGATTTCCAAAGCATCAGTAAATACAGGTGAGCAACACAGACTCTTGAGAGCCTCTAGTTTTAGAAAATTTACTGTGTTTTGTTCTCATTTTCAATGAAATTCTGTAGTATATCCTCAGAAAAAGGTAAGTAATTATCGAAATCTCAGAACTATAGGTCAATTTTCTTAGTAAAACTTATTCATTTAAGGAATCTGTCCCATGTAAGTGATGTTCTCTTTCCATTGGCAATTCCTGACTACACTCACACATAGAACAAATTAGGAACGTCATCAAAGTGGAATATTATTCTTTACAAAGCTCCATATAAATGAATACAAATGTGGTATGGTCAAGTTGATGAATTATTTCTTTCCCTATTAGCAAAATATTACATTTGAAAATCAGATCTGTGTTTCAAAGTAATTTTTGTCTTGCCTACGACGAAAGTCGCAGAATGTGAGACATAGTGATTACTATCCGGCGGCAGCTTGATTTTAATTCTTTTAGTTGCTCTTACTTGACCTAGAACCAGAATGTCATACGACAGAGTAGGTAACCTGTCAAAAGTCAATTATATGAAAATAGTCTATTCAAGGTCATTTACACTTCCTATGTCTAGAAAATGTATGGTTTAAGAGTTTAAGGAGCACATCACAAAAGTAAAATATTGAAAGGGAGATAACTTCCAGGAGATGTCACTTGATTCTTTTGATTGAAATTGAGTATTGTACAATATAGCAACAATTAATTTGGAAAAAAAATGGTGTCTTTTTCTTACAGTGATACATTTATTACAATCACATAGGATGTTGCTGTTGCTGTAACTAGACAGAAAATTAGTATTGTGTTATTTTGAAAGGTGGGAAATATGTAATGAAGGTACCTATAATATCTTATAAGTAGACATATATTGAAAGAGCAAGACATTATAAATTATAATTGTATGTTTCAGATGACACATCATTCCTATCCACTCCATCGAATATCTTACTGTGCTGATGACAAAACAGATAAAAGAATGTTTACATTTATTGCCAAGTCAGCAGATTCTAACAAACATTACTGTTATGTCTTTGACAGTGATAAATGTGTAAGTAAACAAACTAATTGACTGATTCCCTTCCTCCATCCCCCTCCCAAAAGATGTAAACAAGTAAAAGAAATTAAAACGACATATTAACACCAAAGGAAGATCAGTATCAACAATAAGATCTTTTCTCTAATTCTAACCCGATTTATCCTTTTCCTGACCTGCTGATTATTTTTATTTAATCAACAGGTCAGGAAAATCTCAGTTCTTCATTGGTCAAAATTTGATTATGACATCAAATTTTTTTGCTCATCTGAAATTCCTATTGTGACTTCATAAAAAAAAGGCAACCATGCCTGATGACATCACATAAAAAGAACACATCTTTTTGCCTTGCATTTTAAATTTGAAAATTTAACTGTCTCGAGTGGATAAATATCGTATCACACTCGATACAGTGGCAGAATCTATATTTAAAAGGGGATAACAACAGTTTTGAGATTTTGTTTCATTTAAAATCCCTGTAGGTATATGTTGATAAATTTGACCAAATATTTCTTGTTGCTGAGTTACTTACTGATTTCATCCTCAGAAGTTTCATCTGTTTTGTTTGAGTCTAATTATGATGATTTTTTTTACTTTGACATCCTTAGTAAAATCCTTACCTTTGTTGTTTTCCATTACAAAGTAGCTATTACAGCTTCTGATCTATGAGGGACCATATTTTTATTTTTATCAAATTTTAAAGGAACATTTTTCATCAAGCTTTTGTATAAATATAAACAGATGTTTTTTTTTAACATATTTCAGTTTGTGAGGTATAAGGTTAACTGGTTATTATATCGAAGGTTGTTTACATCATTAGCTTGCCTTGTGACAAAGTGTCACATAAAAATCTGTAGCAATATAAACAAAGAATTGAATGCAATTTTAATTTCCCATTTGTATTTGCCTTGACAATTATATTTGATAAAAAATTTACTTTACTATTATGATAATTATAAATTTTATTTTTCAGTCAGAGGAGATAACCTTAACTATAGGACAAGCTTTTGATCTAGCCTATAAAAAATTCTTAGATACAAATGGAAGAGATCTAGATTTGAAGAATGAATATATTACATTACAGAAAAAGGTAAGACCTTGTTAGGTTATACTTGGTACCTCAGGACTCGGACTGATAATTTTGTTAAAAATAAGTAACTGGTATGAACAAAAGGAGATGTTAGGTATACATCTATGAGTAGTTTATAAGCAGTGCCTACATGTTCTTGAGGAAATCTGCTAAGCAGTGGAAAATAGTTTTCAGTAGACATACCAATACATTTTTGAAGATATTTATTGTAATTGGAGAAGACTAAAGAGCTCAGATTTGGTAAACAAAACCTTAATACATATTTGTGTCCTAAGAATTAAAAATTGGTTAATGACCAGAAAGAGTCTTTAAAGAAGGGTTCACATAGTTAAATGTTTTTCTTGCCTCCCCTGAATGCAATTTCATTGACAAAATAAAGTCAAAGAATTATGAATTAAATCAGTCTCACTAGCAAAGAAAGAAATAGGATAAAAATTGAATAGATTTTTGTTGGGTCATGATCAAAGTTTAGGATATTACCTGCAGAGATAATACTTGATATCCTGTCTTTTCCATTTGGCAAAAATAAATAGAAGATTGAGCTGTTTTTTACAAGTCATTAATATTTTTATACTCCTGTACATACATCCCTAAATTGGTTTCCATTCTTTGACTTAAGTATGCCTTGACTTAATGTTATGAAACTTAAACACATTGTTTATCATCACCAAACATAGAGATCAATTTCGAACTTTGGTGGCGTCACTTTCACCGTTCTCGAGTTAAGTCCCTTTATAAATGAAAAAATAATTGCTGAATTTGCTGTTTCCCCCTTCTTACTTTACTTTGCCTCATCCAAATGTTATGAAACTTTTACACCATGCTTATTACCACGAAACACAGATCAAGTTTGAATTAGGGTGGAGTCACTTTCACTGTTTCTGGAGTTACCCAATTACTATTTGTTATTGAACAATCAGAGTACTAAAACACACAAGCAATCTCTAATGACAACATACAGAAACAAATGTCAATAAGTTAAAAAAACAAAACTTAACATCAATAGGCTTGAATTAGTACAAATGTTGGCATCTGTGTTCCATGGACACATTCTTCTTTTATTTAGATGTGACTTTATATTTTTATCAGTTGGCAATCAGGTTATAATATTAGAAAAAACTGGTTTTGTACTTGTTATTTCAATGGCAATATAGGAATCAAGAAGGCAGATAAAGTGATTATGGTGACTTGTAAAATTTTTCTGTTTCACTTTTATCAAAATTGCAGGTTATATCCCTACATTTTGAAAAATATTGTATTTTTATATTCCTATGCAACAACTTTTATCTAGCTTTGGTTTGAGTGCCATGGTTATAATGCATGGAAATAGATGGTTGTTATTTATGATATAATTAGTAGTAAAACAAGTAACTTTTATGTGTTATACAATCAATGGAAACTGTGCTGTTTCAGCCACAGGTGATGATATCGAAATCAGTAATGATTGCAAAGGCTTTATCATACTCCTTATCTTCATGAAGTTACATCATCGATATCATTCAATGTTGCAATCTTCATCAAACCCCTAATCTGCATTACATCATGTCACATGGAAAAACATCTACTTGAGGATATATTAAATAAAGTATATAAGATATGGCTTTTTCAATATCAAACACCATATCAGCCCTCAACCATTTTAATCCCTTGAGTAGAGCTTTAGGGATTATATTGGTGTCTCCGGTTGATATGGCTGTGCTATTGAAAGAGCCATATGATTTCCTCTATTTATATTTAATAATTTTTTTTTCAGGTAAAGTCTTTAGAACAGGAGAATCAGACATTGAAGAAAAGGGTTGAAGAATTAGAACAGCTTAAGGATAGAGATGATATTGTACAGTATAAAAAGAGTCAACAGGTCAGTAGGTCAAGTCTGTTATGTCCTTTTTTGTCAATTATGATACATGTTTCTATTACTATTGTTTATACAACTGAAATTTGATGAAGTACAAGTTGAATTCCATTGATGTAATGAACTTGAAGGTAGGAAGAGATTGAAAAGTGTGACTGTCGTGGAAGCATATACTTAATGTTTGACAAGTTTGCCTAAAAATTTATATTTTAGAAATTTTGTTTGAGGTATTTTTGATACTGTTATCGTGGAAATTTTCATGCTGGGATTATTTACACCTATTTTCCCCATCATCTTATATGATTGAAAAAATCCCCCATGCAGATACTTTGTACAAATCAACAGTATAGATGGTAAGGATTCCATTTCGCAAATTTAACCCTTGTGCAAAAAAGTTAATGCATTGAAATCATGGAAAATAACATCTTGCGAAAATATCCACTTTTACAGTATGAAAAATTAAGGTTATTGTTCTGAAATCTGAAATTTAAGAAGATTTCATGAAAAAAAACCTGTAAGTAGTAACTGCATACTGAATAGCATTGGTTGGAAAACTGCATCGCATTTAGATTTCACTATTAGAAATTACTAGTTCACAGTTGTGATTCACAAATTAAATATTCCATGGAAGTGGTTAGTAGAGAGTTTTATGTTTTCAATAAATTCTATGCAAGTAAAATAACTATAGCTGGTAACATTCCTACAGATTATTGATTTGACTGTTGTTACTAAGCAACCTGGTCCTGCTGTTGCTAATGGTCATCCCACCCATGTGATTTTAAGTGATTCTACATTACAAGAGGAAAGTTCTACAGATGATAGTAAAAATGTAACAGAGGTAGATTGTCTCCCTTGGTGATAGATGTACTAACACAAATGCATGAAATTGTTACATAGCTCTTTATTTTCTCAATTTATAGAGTGCTGCCAAAATGCATAATGGTATAGGTATGTCCTCTGTAAATGTTTTGTAGTAACTTATTTTGGAAAATTCTTTAATTCATAAAAGTATCATGTGACAAACTGTGGAACACATTTTTTTATGGTACTCCCAAGTCATTCCAATTTTATTATACAGAAAGGGCATCAGGATATTAGAAGAAATATTAAAGAGAATCATTTCAAATTTTCGACAAATACGACATAATTGAGTTTTCAGTTCTGTCCTGTAAGAGATTAAATGCAAGGATTTTAGTAACGTTTAGTAGTAATTGCTACAGCTATATAGTGCTACCATTACGCAATGCAAATTGTTGTATTATTATTTTATTGTTTAATCTGTTGATTTTGATATCCCCCATTAAACACTAGTATTTGCTAAAGACAGCATGCTTGGCATATATGAATGTACATATATTATTCAGATTTGTTCATTGGTACTACTTTAATGATTGGTTGCATTGACTTTTTCAATAAATGATTTCTTGGTTTAGTTTCTTTTTGATTCAATACAAACAAGGAACACATTACTTTATTATAAGAATTGATCTGTTTACAGGAGGTAAAATTCTAAGAATGAAAGTAAAATGTCATAACAGTCCCAACATAGAATTATTAAAAGTATGCTTAACTATATCCTTATTTTCATCCCCAAAAAACCTTTTTGGTATGCTTAAAGTAAAGCTTTGTAGATACTTCAGTTACTTTTAATTTTGAGTAATAGTTAGTATAGACTAGTGGATATCTTTGTGTTCAATCACCTTGATTTTGTATTCATCATGTCTTTCATTATTTACAAATTGACAGTGCATGTCAAAGATTTTATGTGGCCTCATTTTGACAAAAATCTACAATATCACTATGTATAGTTCATGAAAAATAATCTGAAATTTGCAGTTACTTTTTGAATAAATGTTGAATTTGCAGGTGGGTTAACATTTTTAGGTTTGTTTTTTTTAGAATCTTTTGGCTAAAGATAAATTCATTTGATAGAGTTAATAATGATGTATACATGGTTGTCTTCACAGGCAGATGTGACATTTAGTACAGGATGGGAGTCACCACGACTGGAGTTTGTCAATGGAACTACAACCAAGTCATCAACAACAAATGGAAATAGTCCATCTGCTACAGGGCTAAGTAAGATATCTTTAATTATATGTGATGTGGTGTTGACTTTCAAACTGTCTTTCCAGATATAGATATGAGCCTCCCAATGTGTTTCTTACAATTTAGAAATGTCCATCTGGAGATCTGTTTCCTGACAGCTGAGGTCAAAATTATCTGTTTTCCTTTTATCACAATTTTGGTTTTTGTGGTAAAATTTGATAAACTATTGCACAAAATAAGGTGTCTAAACTACCTGACATGTTATTTTTATAAAAAAGAAAATAGAGAAGGGATATGGTGTATTTATACCTGACACAAAATCCTAGCTATATTCACTTCACAAAAGTTGACACCTGTGTGTTAGAATAAGAATGATCTCTCTTTTTTATGCCCACCCACTAAGCGAAGGGGGCATTAAGTGTTAGCTTTGACCATCCTTCCGTCGTCCTCATTTTCATTCCGCACACAAACTGAAGTTTTCCTCATCGAAATTTTATAAAACTCATACACAATACACAACACTAAGAACCAAAACTCACAGAGTTCAAATTTGAGCAGAGAGTCACTTATCGTTCTAGAGTTATGCCCTTTATAACTTGGAAAATTGCCATTTTTTTCGTTTCTGCACTCTTTCTTAAGTGTTTCCGCACTAGCAGTGATATCAAATGCTCTCAAAAAGTATTTTCATGTATTACAATAAATATAAAAACAAGAATGTGTCCATAGTACACGGATGCCCCACTCGCACTATCATTTTCTATGTTCAGTGGACCGTGAAATTGGGGCCAAAACTCTAATTTGGCATTATAATTAGAAAGATTATATCATAGGGAACATGAGTACTAAGTTTCAAGTTGATTTTACTTCAACTTCATCAAAAACTACCTTGACCAAAAACTTTAACCTGAAGCGGGACAGACGGACGAACAGACGCACAGACCGAAAAACATAATGCCCCTAGGTGGGGCATAATAAGGAGATGTGGTATGATTGCCAATGAGACAACTATCCACCAAAGTTCAAATGAAGTGGATGTAAGCAATTATAGGCAACTGTAGAGCACTCAACAAGGAGAAAAACCCATACCATATTGTCAGCAATAAAAGGCCTCAACATGAAAAATATGAAACAATTCAATTGAGAAAACTAGAAGCAAGCATGAGAGGGGGCATTTGTGTCTTGAAACACTTTCTTCTTTTATTTTAGTATAATATTTAGTCGAATAGTTGATCCAAATGATTTGTTTAGTTCAAAAATATATACTCCAGCAGTCCTAATTTTCCTTTTGTAAGGGATACACTAATTGAATGACCTTTGGATGTGTATGTCTATCTGTGTGTATGTGTTAATGGTTTACTTGTGAACAGGATACAACAAAATGACATTAAACTTGGAATACACAGAATATATGGAAAGGATGATTCTTACCAAACTGGCAAAAGTAACCCTTCACCATCCTGTTATAAGTTGTAATTTATTTTCTATTCAGTTTCTCCACCACCTCCCAGTACAAGACCAAGGACGCAAGGATCAGTTTCGTCACCAACATTACCATTGAGTCCAGCTGGATATCCTGATGGTAAGTTTACATCCTCCCCCGCCCTCCCCCAATCATCACTGTTATAAACCTGTACCCCAGGAGTGGAGAATATACTATTGAACACTTTTCTGTCTTTCAGGCGCTATTATTTGTTTTAGACTTCTAAGCAATATTTATCACATTGATTTTAAAATCAATAGTTAGCACCATATAGGGAAGATTTTAGGTGAAAAGCATTTTAATTTCTTCAGCATGTTAAGCTGATGTGTAAGAGTATCCCTTGTTTAGAATATGTGTGTGCATTCACAACCAACTTAAGAAACTTAAAAAGATGTATAGCCATATGTATATTGGTGCATCTTTGAGAGACTGCTCATGTGCCCTAATATTATGGATACATGACACACATTTCCCTTTTCTCAGGCTTTAAGTTTTAAAACTTATTACTGATATTTAGGTTTCATTGGAATTCAGAAGTCAGAAACTTGGTGATTTGCCATCATTTTTAAACTTCATGTCTGGTATAAAGTTTTGTATGTGGAGTACATATCTCAGAACTCATAATAAGCGCACATCTAGGGGGATATGTCAGCATCCCACCAAGAGGTAGATCATTTTATGCTTATCTGACTTATATTCAGTCTTTGGTCAAAGTTCTACAAACATATGTACAGCACATATTAACTTTATTAAGCTTCCCCAAATCACTACTGACAACATTTTTATTTGGCTCTTACAGAATATTCATCTGATAATACAATTAAATTTTGTACGTATGGTTTGTCCATTATTTTTCATTGCATGCTTTTTACTTGCAGCAGTGGATGCTTTTGGTGCATCATCATTTAATCCACAGCCTGCCAGTGCTGATCCATTTGGTATGGCAGCATTTAATCCATCATCACCTACAAAATTTAATCCATTCACATCAGATACATTGTCTGTGTCATCAACAGAGAGAGAATTACTTGATATTCAGGTAAGAATAGAAAGTAACAAATACACTTATACTTAAAGGTATCGTAAGATAAATCATTGTCCATTTATACTTCGTAGTTTTGGGGAAATTTGTTTCTGTCAGAATTTACAAAGGAACAATGAATGATTACATTTAAATTTATTCATTTACCTTCTCTTAGTTTGGAAATAATAACCTGCACTTCTTTGGTGATCGATATCGTTTGAAGTTGCCTTAAACATGTTGTGAATGTAAAATCTAGATTGGAAAAGACTTCAATAACTTAAATGCTTACAAAGCAGAAGCATATTGACGACTATAAATGAAGACTGTCATACAAGTGAGAGGTTTTTGCTAGCTATAAAACCAGGTTTAATCCATTTTATACATAAGGAAATGCCTGTACCAAGTCAGGAATATGACAGTTGTTTTCCATTCGTTTGATGTGTTTGAGCTTTTCGTTTTGAATTTTCCTTGGAGTTAGGTATTTTCGGTATTTTACCTTTTAAAACAACAAAAAAAAATTTCACTCTTCCTTGATGCAATAACCAAAATTCCTCAAAACAACTTTACATTTGTCATGAAGCACGCTGAAATAAAATTTCCTATCCATCGAAGTTATAATTCTTTTGATTGACAAAGAGACAATTATCCACTAGAAAATGAGTGACTATATGTTACCTTACGGCCTTCAACAATGAGCAAAACTCATATAAAATAGGAAGCTATTATAAAGGCCGTGCCATGACAAAATGTCAATCATTTCAAATGAGAAAACCAAATGGCCTGATTTCTGATCAACCAATAACTGACATGTATGGCAGACAGCAACCAAGGGCAACCACTGAGTTCAAGGATCATGACTTGGGACATGCATATAAAGAATGTGAAGGGTTAAATATGTTTGTGAGCGCTCAACCCTCCCCTAACATGGGACAGTGGTATAAAAGCACAACTTAAAAACAAACTGTAAAAAAATAGTTGGAAAGGTCTTGACTCATAAGATCAGCACAAGCACAAAAAAAACCAACCAATATATCTAGCAGACATATCTACAGCCTCAATGACACAACTAATTTAATAATATAGTTTGAAAAATATTGATAATAATTATGTATGATCTGTTATCCACCTCATAATCTGTTTCTTTCAAGATCATTCGAATGAGTTGATTATATCAATTGTAATATATTCAATATATCGTAGAAAAAAAAAGGAAAAAATATTCAGTTATGTGTTCATCATATAATTTTGGTATGTTTTTTTGCAGGCTGGTTTTAGTCAGGGACTCTCATTTGGTACAGAAGACTTTAATTTAGCTGATCTGGACCCATTAAGTCAAAAATAATCATCGGATGTGGAACATACCAATAGTGTGCTATGAATGTTAAATCTGCTGGCAGACATAAGCATTTATGCTGAAGGACCAGATTATTACACAACTAATTTTCCTGTTGAAATTTGATAAAAAGACATACTATTATGCATTAGATCTACATGTATATTATGATTCTATTGATGCTGCAAGTCATAATAATTAGACTAGTGAAAAATATATTGTTGAACATTCATTCACATGTTATTTTGTATTAATGGAATAGTGCAATGATTGCTTTATAGTTAAAGGTGAAATACTGATTTACTCTCTGAAGGATTTTCAACAATGTTGTATTCATATACTTAAACAAAGTGTCACACATACACTGTTTTGTATATTACAATGATGGAATATAAATGAAGTATGAGACCAGCTAAAGTTTAACATAATAATTTATTAAAGATTCAAAATACGTATCATGTGACGCATAGTGAGAAGATTCAAAATATGTATCATGTGACACATCATAGTGTAAAGATTCAAAATATGTATCATGTGATGCATCATAGTGTAAAGATTCAAAATATGTATCATGTGATGCATAGAGTAAAGATTCAAAATATGTATCATGTGACACATAGTGTTAAGATTCACAATATGTATCATGTGACGCATAGTGTTAATATTCAAAATATGTATCATGTGACGCATCATAGTGTAAAGATTCAAAATATGTATCATGTGACACATAGTGTAAAGATTCAAAATATGTATCATGTGACCAATAGTGTAAAGATTCAAAATATGTATCATGTGACGCATAGTGTAAAGATTCAAAATATGTATCATGTGATGCATCATAGTGTAAAGCTTCAAAATATGTATCATGTGAGTGACAACACAAACACATAAAGAAAATAACTTTGTTATTTGCAACAAGTATACTGCTGATAAATCTTAGCTTTTAAAGCATAAAGGGTAACTTATAGATGTAGATATAAACTGTTAAAAAAAATGTAAATGAAAATTAAGCTGTAAATGATTCTATGAAACATCGAATTATATTGTAAATCTATTTTGAGTTGCAAGTGATAATAGTACTTGCATTAATATGTGTTAGTATAAGCTGCTTACTGGTGCTTAGCTTACTATATTCATATCTCAATTTCACTTTACAGATCATATTTATCCCAACTGAGTGAATAAGACATAAGAATAAATCCTTCTGTATAATCAAATATTTCTATTGTGACACCTGTTTTCTATTATTTATTAATGAAACACATGCTTTAGATTTAACAAGATTGTAATTATACTTGTCTTAACTAGAGAACTATTCTGATAAACCTTTACTGTACAGAACTAAGTGACAAAAAATATGTAGTTTTATTATTAGTACAAATCTTTACCATAAGAATTAAGTCACAAAGAATATGTACAGTTTTATTGTTAGTACAGTGTTCATTATAATAAGTACTTCATTTACAGTAATAAAATATGTTACAGTTAGATCATTTGTATTTCATTCAATAGTACAGTCACAACCACTATTTCAAAAAAGTATATTAAGAGAAACAAGGCATTAATTTTTCTTTAAAAGAAGAGAGAAACAGTTATCACTATCTGTAAACATTATTATTTCATGTATGCACTACTTCTTTCCTTGAAATAATAGTTTTTCTTTCATGTTGTCCTAATAAACATGAAGGACCCTAATACTGAAAACTTTTAACATTTTGATTAATAAATGGCTGCTCAACATCCATCTTTTTATGCCCCCGCTGTAGTAGAGGGGGCATTAAGTTTTACCCTTGTCTGTCTGTATGTCCGTCAGTACGTACGTACATCCCGAAATTGGTTTCCGTTTTCTAACTCTAGTTTGCCTCAATCAAATGTTATGGAGCTTATTCACAATGCTTATTACCACAAAACACAGATCAAGTTTGAATTTGGGTGGCGTAACTTTTACCTTTCTAGAGTTATGCCCCTTTACATTTTTCATTCTCTAACTTAAGTTTGCCTCAACCAAATGTTATGAAACTTATACACAATATAAAAATAAGAAGTTGTGGTATAATTGCCAATGAGACAACTCTCCACTAGAGACCAAATAACATAGAAGTTAAGAACTATAGGTCACCGTACAGCCTTCAACAATGAGCAAATGATAAATGTAAAACAATTCAAACGAGAAAATTAATGGCCTGATTTATGTAAAAAAAACAAAGAACAAAATACAAATATGATATACAGCAACAAACAACAACCACTGAATTACAGGGTTAAACATGTTAGCAGGCACCCAGCCCTCCCCTTAACCTGGGACAGCAGTATAACAGTACAACATATGAACAAACTAAAAAAATCAGTTGATAAGGGCTTAACTCATCAGATCACAAAAACACAGACAGGACTTGGCAGGGTATTACCACAAAACTCAGATTAAGTATGAATATGGGTAGCGTCACTTTCACCATTTTTGAGTTATGTCCCTTTATAATGTTATATGCAAGCGGGGGCACCATCTGTGTCCCATGGACACGTTCCCCATTTATTTGTCTTTCTCAACTTTGTGTACACTTGCATAGCTATACATTTTAGACCCATTAGAAGAACCAAACTTGGTCACAATTGTCTTTGGGGTATCTAGTTTAAAAATTTGTCTGATGATCCTGTCTACCAACCAACATGGCTGGGTAAAAATATACTTGGGGGTAAATTGCAAGTTTTGCGAATAATCTTGAAAACGGCTATAGATCAGGAAAATTGACCGATAGAGGCAAAATATAAGAATCTACCTGCTATCCATTTACATCAAAACTGTCAGACGACTTCTTACAGGAGTCAATGCCTTTAAGTGTCGAATATTTTCACTTTTGCCTATATTTATAAAACTGTAATACATTGTAAATAGAGAGAAACTTTTGGTAGCAAAATTGATAAGTAAGACATGTTCTACAAATAAATCAACATGGCTTGAAGTTATCGCCTTTAAAAGATGATGTTTACCATTTTTTTTTTTCATTTTAGTCTGTTATCTTGAAAACTAGAATAGATAGAAACTTGAAAATCAAAAATGATCAGCAAGACAAGATCCACAAATAAATCAACAATGAATGAAATTCATTCATCTTCTTATAGGAGTTATTGCCCTTAAGTTCAAGGTACATTTTTGGGCTACGTGTTGAAGGCCTTCTGTGAATTTGAGATGTAGAACAGCAATAAAAGCGCTGTTCCTTTGCTTTTTGTGTTTTTTGCTGTGCCTATACTGATTTGTGTAATGGATGGATACCCCCATACCTGCCAACCTCTGAAACCTTCAAAGAGGGAGATCTCCCCCTCAGCTAAGACAGCTGAGGGGGAGATTTTGCGCGAACAACATTTTCAAGTGAAAAATATTACCTTTTTATTTATTCATTTACAAAACACAAATAAGAGTAAAAAGATATACTTTAATTCTTCAATCATGGTTATATCCTTTAAAAGGTGTGTTGGTTTGTTTATTTACTTCTTCAACACCTTTGACATTTATGTCCCTTCAGGCCAGCAAACCTCAATGATATGTCTGTTTCAAGTGATCAACTTTAATTTAAAGAATGGTGCAATACATGAATGAACAGTCACAATTTAGTCACCATTTTGAAATACATAACTTATGAATTTCAATTTAAACATTGAATAGAAGTATAGATCTATTAAATGATTTTCAAAATATAATTATATTTTTTGTCCTAAGGTCTTCAAAATCATTAAATTACCATCCTTTTATGATTCTTTGTTCAATTTGTATTTAATTTATATTCTTTAACCAATTCACATTATTTTAAGTAGGGTAACTTAAAACAAGATTAAATAGGAGAAGTAACCCGAAATTTCTTTGAAGTCTTTTCAAATATACAAAGCTTGAGGTAAAAGTCGTTAATGATCGTTAATTAGTATTATGTTTGACACCCAAGCTCTCATGTGAAGCCATTTAATTTTCACATGGACTGATATTTACAGGTAAAAAATACCCTCATCAGTGACACAAAAACGTTATTAATGTTGACTGGTCAATTCAAGGTAAAATATCCAAAAGCGAGAGATTCGATACTCCCGCGCGGGAGTGGACCGGCAAGCGGGAGATTTCCGGAATTTCGTCACTTAAGCGGGAGTCTCCCGCTCAAAACGGGAGGGTTGGCAGGTATGGATACCCCATATCCTTTCTTTTCTATCATTTCATAGATTTTGGTAAAATTTGGCATACAACTATGGCTTGATTAACTGTAACTGAAAATAATAAAAAAAAAGTAATCCATTCACCTCTTTTATTTTTGAAATATAATTGAATTAATTCTTTCAAAATAGTTGCATATTTTTATAGAAAGCACATAAAATCTGTGAATTAAATTCGTAAACAGGTCTTAAAATCGTCAAATCTCCCTTTACCAATCCATAGATTTTTCTTAAAAATTGAAATGTTGTTTATACAATTTTTGTTTTCATGATGTAAAATAATCACAGGGTCACCGACTCTGTTTTTAGTGTATTAAAAATCTGTTATCTAGTTGGTAGTAAAACAAGTAAAAAATCAACATCTCACAGTTTACAATGCGATGGTGTTACGCTTATTTCAATATTTTGAAGTATTTTTTCACACAGAACACCACTTTGAATCATATATAAGGTAAAAGTCTGTGACCCTATTATTTTTGAACATTATTAAAATGGAAAATCTGTATGAAATGATGATTTTAAAAGAAATTTAAGAAAGTTAAAGAATTTTTTTGGCAATTTTATGTGCTTTCTATACAAATTTGCATCTATTTGGAAAGAATTCATACATATTTCAGAAAATAAGAGGTAAATGCATTATATTTTCAATTTTCACTTATAGTCTAACATGCCTAAATTGTATTCAAAATTTGACTGAGATCTGTGACATAGCCCATTTATTGTACCTTGACCTTTAATGATGATTTTCAAATTTAGATATGTTGTTGACTAAATGAAGGTCAAGTTCAATTTTTCACGATTTTAGCTTTTCTCGTTGTTGAGTTGTCGACCTTTTAGTAGCCAAAAGTTATACTTATTATATGATTGAGTTATTTCCCTTTGAACAGAAATTATGATTTGGGAACTATTAATTATATATATAAAGTTTGATTACACTTAAAGTGTTTTTAAATAATTTTCACCTGTTATCAGATAACAAAGAATCTGGTAAATATCTTATCACACAATTATAATTGGAGTGACAGATTTATTTGAAAATTTTCTGTCTCCTACGTGTTGATGATGATAAGATCTGTAGGACAGTATAAATAAAGTTTGAAATTTACTGTTTCTTTATTAGACATTTTGAAGATAATTACAGATAAGTTTTATAGATTTTTAATAGATATTGTATTAATGATAAATGACATTTTTGATTTTTTTTCTTCTTTTCTTTGGTAAATTGTTTGAATAATTTGATTTGTTATTCTGTATAAACTTATTTTCTGAATTCTATATATTTTTTTTGATGAAGAGAATTCCTTTAAAACTAAGCTTATATTAGTATGTCTATTAATAAACATATATTTTATCATATTATCTTGAAAAATATTAAAGACAGAAAAAAGGATATTTTTATCATGAATGATATTCTATTCTAATATGACGACCAATATATTGTCAACCAATATATTCACAGTATATCTACTTTTAGGTCAAACGCATTAATACACAAAATTTGTGCTGTTCCACATTAGGCCCACCTCATTTATACAACCAGGTAAACTCAATTTACAACAGAAAACCCAATGTTTTAAATAGGCCTAGCTTCAAATACAATACGGTTATCTCTATTCTAATGCAAAACAAACAAATTAGTCCATTTCAGTTATTTTGGTGTAAAATTTCAAAAAACGAAAATTCCGCAAAATTATGTTATCTGTCTAAACAAGGTGATATCATATTTATGCTTCCAGCGTCAAATGTAAACACGGGCTTCTTGTACGCCTCAGAATGTAATAAAATGAGATAAAAAGAACATTTTTAGGTAAAAAATGTGAGTTTTTTGCCTCCCCTTGATGGAGTCAAAAGGGAAGCATAGGTATGTATTGGCACATCTCATTTCCAAGGAGATTATTTGACCCTGCCCCCTCAGTCATGGTCTATTGACTTTGAAACTTTTGCTGTTTACATGTATTATTTTGTGATTATGTCAGTTTATGGGAAACCCACTAGTAGTAGGTCAATGATACTTTGTATGCATATGTTTTAGCATTGGCACATTTCCTAGAGATGGTTTGGTCCTGTACTTTCAGTCATGGTTAATTAACGTTGAATATTTTGCATAACTTCCATGTTAAAGTATTGCTATTTTAATTTCAACATTTGCATTTTACTATCAAAATAACAAACTGTGTCAACAGTTTATTTTATTTATTATTGAAAAATATAATACTATTATATGGGGATAACACAGAACAGCCAAAACAGTATCGGGTGTATAAGACTTTCATGGCAGACAAAATTACCATATG